CTTATTCCTACTTCCTCTGTTGTCAAGTGCCAAGTTACCTCAATTCTGTGAGAAGAACACACACACACACACACACACACACACACACACACACACACACACACACACACGTGCCGCACTCACATACTCTCACGAGCAGTTCTGGCCCCATGTCTCCCCAGGCATCTGCCATGCAACCATTTGAACTGCTCTATTTATGCCTGATTAGCTCGCTCCACGTATCCTTATTCTGCTCCCCATGGAGTCATTTCAAAGCCAGAAGGGTCCCAGGTACCCCCCCCCCCTTCAGGCATCCTCTCCTGCCTTTCAGGGATCCCCAAGCCCGTGCCTGTGCCCAGGTCACTGTGTGGCCAGGCTCTCCTTGGCCATCCTTTCCGGCCAGTCCCACAGCCCTCTGCATTCAGCACACCCACAGCTGAACTACTCTCCTTCAGTTCTGCTCCTATTGCTTCACCAACCAAATGGGCAAGAGCCAAGTTCTCCTTCCTCAGACCCTGAAGTTCGTCAGCTTGGTCTAGGACTATGCCAAGGCCTCCTCCCCACACCCCTGGAGACTGCCCCTCCTACTCACCATCCTACCTACCACTGTGTATACAGACCACCCTACCCTTTTCCTGGGTCACTCCAACAGCTTTCCTAGGGCTTTCTGCCTCTGTTTCTCTAACATATCCCTTTCTCTGCTGTCTTCAAGGTTGTAGTTTCAACATGCAATTTTGAATGGGACGATGTTAAAAATTGCACTGCTGCCTCCTGGACAAACAGACTTACTTGACCACAAAGGTCAGGCCTTTGGCATCTGGCCTTGGAAGTTACCTTTACAACTCTTTAGGCGCCACAGGCCAATCCGGGCAGACCCACCATCACTAGACATGCTCTGTGCCTTTCTCCAGTCTCGTCCTGGCACGTGTCTTCTGCAGGGCCAGGCTATTGCCACAGCCCCCTTTGTGAAGCCTTTCCTGGCCACCCAGGCACCAATTCATCACCTTCTCTAGTGGCCAGACTTCACACAGTGACTGAGCTACAGGAAGTGGGTAATCAATACAGTCAGCATGCCTGGATCGACTGTGGCCTCGCTGAGCACCAGGCAAATTCTCAACTTGTCCTGGCACATGGCAGGACTTAACACAGTTATGTGTTAGAAAATGGTAGTGAAGTAACACAGCAAGTTCCAACAGAATTTTGCATCAAGCGTCAACTTAAAGAATTCATTTCAAACTTGTGATTTAACTTAGTGAAGATTTAGCAAGCCAAAAAGTTTATCAGAGTAGCTGGGAAGTCCGAGAGTGCCAATAGCTATCGACAGATTACTTTCTGGCGTGGAAAATGGAAGCTGGAGTGGCAGGGCACTTGCAGAGCACGCGTGGAGTCCTGGGCTCTGTTCTCAGCAGTGAGAAAAAGAACGGAATGGCGAAAAAAAGTCAGAAAGGAGTAAACAATAAAGAAGAAAAAAACAGGAGCAAGTGAGTTCTATCCTATTCCTCAGAAGGACTAGATCTACTGTCTTGGTTGACACTGTAAGTAAGGCGTACATTATAATTATAAGCTATTAGAATCAGTAGCATGACTTGTACTAAAAATGCATATTCATTTTTCTCTGTAATGTCTGAAGAAGAAGGTCGAGACACAATACAGCATAAACTACATCCACCAAGGGGGCAGGAAAGGACACTCTGACTCTCAATTTGAATTTGCCAACCATGCACAGGAGAGGCTATTTTTTGCTCTCTTTAAAAAACTGTCTGTATAAGTCTCATAAATACAACTTCTGCATAACTGATCAGGAAATCCAGTGCACCCACTTCAGAAAGCAACAGGCTAGATCAGCTTCTCAGGTCTCCTCCGAGAAAGGTCAGAACTACCCTGTACTTGCCATCTGAGTGTGTACCTTGGTCTAGAAATATCAGAATCAAAACAAGGACTTACTTTTCAATATGAAAATAAGACTCTAGTCACATATAAGCATTAGTGAGAAAAACCATTCAGGCTGGGCACCAGAGACTCATACCTGTAATCCTAGCTATTCAGGAGGCTGAGATCTGAGGATCATAGTTTGAAGCTAGCCTGAGCAGAAAAGTTCATGAGATTTGTATCTCCTAACCTCCAAAAAGCTGGAAGTAAAGCTGTGGTTCACGTGATAGGCCACTAGCTTTGAACAAAAGAGCTCAGGGATAGTGTCCAAGGCCTAGTTCAAGTCCCAGGACTGGCATAAAAAACAAACAACAACAACAACAAAACCCAGGATGACTGTTATTTTAACATTATTTTTAACCCAAGATTCTGGTTAAAATTGAGAATGAAGTAATGGTAGCTTTATAGCATGCCACAGAAATACCTGATTAGTTTGAAAATGAAGCCTTCTAGCACACCAGACCTTAATCACATGTCAGAAACTATCTTCTTAATAACAATTAATTAAATGAAATGAAACAAACTAAATGCAACTTGATCTGAGAGAACAAAGTTGGAACTGCTGTGTATGGGGGACTTTGTGGTGCTTGCACTCCATCAGGAAGTAATTATACAATATTTTCCAGAAGTGAAAAGTGAGTCTAACTGGAAAAAATGTGGAAACATTTAGTTAGAACAGTAGAGCAAGGTATTAGAGACCCTTTTAAGGGGTTAACTCTGAAGGGGAATATGCAAATAATTAGGTCTTTAAACATGCTTTTAATTACAAATCTAGGATAAAAGTTGGAGGTATTAACTTGGGGCCCGTGCTTTTTTCCTGAAAACTTCTTTCTTGGAGAGCAATGACTATAATTTCCCACCACCATGAAAACAGGCTGATAGCTGAGGCTGCTTCAGAGACACGTTTACCAGCATCCCTGGTGACCTCTTTCCTAGGCCCTGAGGAAGATCACCATCACGTGCTTCCCTCAGCACTCACTGGGCAGACTCAACCCACAACTGGGGTGGAGACACATGGTTTTCATCTCCTAAGTCAAAATTCATTGGCATCAATAGCTGCTATGAGTTCATGTGGATTTCAAGAGTTTCATGAAATCTCTCACTGATTCCATTTTGCTTCCAGTGTTCAGCTCTCCTGGGCTACGTCCGGAGCACACATCGTCACCGAGATAATCCTACACAACTTCTCGTTGTAGTTTTTGTCACACACCATTCTACTGCAAATGAATCTTCTCAAGATTCATTCTCAAGAACCAGAGATGGTTCAAGTTGAACAGAGGTGAGTTGGAAAAGAAATATAAAGCACAGTGTATACTAATTTACAATCTGACTTTGAAAAAAGAAAAGCCCCAGAAGATGCAATGTGGACACATGTTGATACAAATGTTAAACTGTCCGTCTGCCTTAATGTGCTGAGTGTGGTTTGTGGTTTGTCCATGCCAGGTTCTGAGGGCTTCTCCAATGAAAGGAGCAGACAAAAATTCCAACCCTCCTAAAGCCGCCATTCTAGCAGATACATTGGTGCCTGCTAAGAAATGACTCTTTGGGTCTCTGATCTAGAGGTCAGTTCCCTCAACAAAGGAGCATGAAAGGTAGATGATGCACCAAATCCCCATTCCTCAAAAGGAGGAACATAAAATCTTCCCTAGAGTGAAGCAGCACGAAGGTCCTGAGTATCAGAGCAGTGACTAGAGCTGAGGCTACACAGTACAACAGCAGAACCTATTCATGAAGCGTGCTTTGGCTGAACCACGCTCTCCTCCCAATTTATATGCTGAAATCCTGAAATGAAGTCAGGAGGCTGAGGGTCTGATCCCACAGGTTTAATGTCTTTACAACACAGAAAGCAGAGATTCCTCTGTCAGGAGAGGACATTGAGTGAAGGAGGCTGTCTGCACACCTGAAAGAGGGCCCTCCTCAGAAAGGTGATCATCTTGATTTCCATCTTTCCAGCTGCCAGTTCAGAACTAGGAGAACACCCATTTTTGTTGTCTACAGTACTTTGTTATGACTATCTGAGCAGGCCGAAAGAAGGAAATACTATCATCAACAGATGTTCCAATAGCACCGTGAGGGGGTGGGTTATATGAGATACTCTAGGAAGATGTTCTTCTATCCAGCAAGCAAAATGTGAGTCCTAGATGTTACTTCCTGTATCTCCAAAGATGACACTGAAGAGTACTTGAGGAGCTAACCGCTGTTTGCCACTCCTCCACTGACCAGAAACATTCATTGTGTCCAGACCCTTCCTGGCTTGCTTCATGTTAGAGGAAACAAAACTAGCATTTTGCGACTCTTCAGACAAAACACCTTTCTCTGGGCAGTGATTCTAATCAAGTTACAGAGCATTTCCTACTCCAGGGGTCTCTGTAGAATATACTGAAAGGTGACACATCTACCATAGCAGCTAGCAATGACTTCACCCCTGAAATTATGACAAGACCCTCAGGTACACAAAGCCCAGTATCTAAAGAGTAACAAAACTAAAGAAAATCACATTTCTGAAATATTTGTGTTTTGTTTTGCTGGCATTCTGTAGCACAAACAGGACATCAAAGTTTAAGAAGACTTTACAGGAAAAAAGTTGGTAAGACTGAAAATGTTATGTAACTGTAACCTCCCTGTTTATCACTTTTACAATAAAGATTGAAAAAGATTAAAAATGTTTCATCCATAACCTCTGCCTTTGAATTGTCTACACAGAGACAGTCAGGTTTCAGAAACGTAACAGTAAGGTCTGGCTGTGGAACACAGTTTCAGAAAGACACTTGTAGTACAAGTATGTAAAAGCAGTAAGGCTGATACCTAGCAAACAGTTGGGACAAGGAATCCTTTTGCCACTTCCAAGCTCAGAGTCAGACTGAGGCTCAGATCACATGGAAGTTCCTCAGATTCTGTCAGAAGAGGCAACTCTGGCTCAACAGGGCTGTTCCCCACTTACAGCTCCTACTTACAACTCATCCTGTATGTTGTCTGTCAGTTTGAAGAGTTGTTCCTGTCCTTCTGCCTGGCTCTCAGAGTAGCGAGGAAGCAGCCCCTGGGGTCCTGTGCAGCAGCGTGGTTTCCGAACCCTCTGCGCTTGGGTCCTAGAGAGGGGCAAATAAACAGGAAGCAAAGAGGTTAAGTGTTGAGGTGAAAGTGAAATTCTCCCTTCATCACCTAAGAAGGCACTCCTCAGTGCAGAAGATGCTCCACGTTCAGCAGGCCCAAGCAAATCGCCGAGTGTCTACCAGGAGTTGGAAGGTACAGCTAGACTCCCTCTGTCATGGAACCTGGCTTGGGTACTTACAACTATTGCTCTGGCTTCATTAGCTAACTTCCTGCATTCTCAGGGTCACTCTTCTCTGGGGAACAGGTGATATCCTGCTTTTCTAGAAATTTCTTTGAGAGGACCATCTGTGGACAATGGGTCAGAAGACCCAGAGGCCCTAGGCTTTATCAATTTGTCATGTTTCTAGCTTCATCTAAGAGGAGCTCAGGTACCCTAGTAATCATGCCTGAGTAAAGAATGAGAAATGTAGGGCTGGGAAGGTGGCTCAGTGGTAGAGTGCTTGCCTAGCATGCATGAGGCCCTGGGTTCGATTCCTCAGCACCACATAAGCAGAAGAGACTGGAAGTGGTGCTGTGGTTCAAGTGGTAGAGTGCTTGCCTTGAGCACAGAGAGGCTCAGGGACAGCAACCAGGCCCTGAGTTTAAGACTGTCAGGGGGAAAGAAAAAAAAAAAAAAGGGATGAGAAATGCAGCAACCCTGTGGGGGAAAAAGAGGCTCCAAGGACCAGTGTCAGGCCACAGCGGGATTCTGCAGTTTCCCTATCACAGGCCACTCGGCTGTGGGCTGCCCAAAGGAATCTGCTTCGCTATGGCTTTTGGGGTCGGCTGCTGTTGTCTTTTTCCACAAGCCATAGACAAGGTAATTGATAAATACTTTTTGGTGTTTTCCTAGAAACAGGAGTCCATATTTGTGTTGGAAAAGCTGTGCATATTTCAGATGACTGATAAGAGAGTACTGATCTGTCCTCGGCCTTGTACTTGTTGTACTTTTTATTATTTGTTCCTGGAACCCACTGAAGCAAAACATTTCTCTCTAGACATACCTCGAAGAGAGGAGCAGCCTTGCACACTGAATCAGCATTTTGGAACTGTACACCAACAGTAGTATGGAGAGTGGTTGGAAGGGAAAAGGGAGCAGAAATATGGAAAGAATATAACTTGCCACAGGCTGTGTGACCTAAAAAGCCAGGATCATTGATTGCCATGGTTGGGCCCAGATCAAGGTCTGCTCCAGCTAGACATGGTGCCCAAAGGACAACCCTATACCTGGTCATGTTTGGACATGCAGAAAGCCAGTGATAACTTCCCCAAAGGGTTCCTTGAACACAAGTCATTGTGTTCTTCAGGGGTGAGGTAGAGACCAATTTGTACTAGGGGAATGGGTAAGAAAAGCTAAATTTCATCTGTATCACACACTCACTTATGCCCACCGTGCCTGGCTTCAATTCCCTCTTCAAGAGTCAGGCCTATTGTCAACCTTCTTAATTCCCAATTCCTGGTGGAAAGCAGGTGGAGGGCAGTAGAGGAAGCCACTGTCGGCCAGCTGGTAGAAACGCTTCAGAGCTGCTGCATGAAGGATGCCAGCAAGCCACCCCCTCCAAGGGACACATGGGAAGAGGCTAGGGTAGTCTTCTCCAGGTAGCCTGTTTGGTGAATCCCCTGGTGTCCTTGTTTGGTGAGTCATCTGACCCAAGCAGTCTCACTGTCCTCCTATCCAAGAGGCTGCTAGAAGAGCCTTCCTGAGTGTCATACAGAAATCAAAAGGCTGCTCCAATAGGATCATGTATAGTGGGGCCTCATTCCTGTCTTCTTCAATAAGATCTGATTCAAATTCCTCACCCATCCAACCAACTTCAATATATGGTTGACACCCACCGACCACGTCAACTCTATGAGAAGGAGGCCTGGTTTCCAGTGGAGCAGGAGAAGGAATCAGATGAGTCTATAAACGAATGCATCTATGGGTGGAGAAGTTTAAGGCTAGTCATAGAGCTACTAAGAAAAGGCGATATGCAAACTTGAGTGGAGAGTTTAAAGACCAGAGATTTGAAAGCTACCAACTGTTGTTAAGGCAAAAAGTGAACCAGCTGAATCCCATCTTCCTAACAGAAAAGTCAAGGGTATCTGGTCTGCTGAGAAAGGCAAGGCACACGAAAGAAGTCATAAAGTCAACACTCCTGTGGACAAGTATCTTTGTCCTTACAAGATACTTGTATTCGTGTGTGAGAAAACGTACTGAGCCCTGCACCCATCTGACGGGACACAAGACAGCCTGACAAGCAAGGTGGCCTGCATCAGCTTCCAAGTTCCTGGGTTAACATTTCCCAGGGACAACGTGGGGAACCATGCCCCCCATCCACAAGATCCCATTCTTTCTTGACTTTGTGGCCTCTCCTCAGGCCTTCCTCAAACTACTTCCACTCTTAATGTATTATCTTCTACCCTGAAATCTACAAACCCACCGAAAGGTCAGAGAGCAGAGCAGCTCTCTTGTGAATATACACTGATTAACAACGCTATGTTTCCTTTCTTATCTGTTTTCTCACCAGGCTGAATACTACCTCCTATTTCTGAGGCCCTCCCTTGCTAAGCTGCCAAACACCAAGGGCCAGCTGGAACACTGCTCAATATGAGGGACTCACTGTGGCAGTCAAAGCTCACTTTTCATGTCAAGACACACGAAACTAGAGCTAAATTTGGCTATGAAAGCAAATAGTGTTCTACTATGGTCTTCTTTATTTTTGGTGCATGTACTTGGGCTTGAACTCATGGCCGCCTTACAGTCTTGCTTATAGTTTTACCACTCAAGGCTGGTGCTCTACCACTTGAGCCATATTTTCATTTCTGACTTTTTGTTGGCTAATTGGAAATAAGTCTCATGAATTTGTCTACCTGGGCTGGCTTTGAACTGTGAACCTCAGACCTCAGCTTCCTAAGTAGTTAGGATTATAGGCATGAACCACCAGCAACCAGCTTTCCACTAAAGTCTTATAAACATAAACAAGGAGTAATTTAGTCATACTCTTGCTATCAGCAGAAAGCTGGATTAAAGAAATTCTGCCATATACTCCCCTACTATTTTATCATTGGCAGTGCCTGCAAAACTAGTTTTTCATCTCAACTAAAACTCAACTGAAAGTTCAACTTCTCAGGTCAAGGTTGGTTGGCTGTAGGTGTAAGGGTAGTGGTTAAAGTTGCCAGGCTTAAATTTAAACCCAAACATCAAAGAACAACCAGTTCCTGTTTCTAAACCTCCCAAGCCAGCAGTTTATAAAAGTGACATTCACTGTAAGACCCAACTGTTTGGATTCACATATGATGAATCCAAATAGTATTAGAAGCTATGTAACAGTCCCTAAACTTGCTCATGTGCTATGACCCAGGAGAATGGAGTGCCTTCTTTTTTTGTTGTTGGTTGTGGGGCTTGAACTCTGGGCCTGGGCACTGTCCCTCAGCTCTTCAGCTCAAGGCCACAGCACCACTTCCAGTTTTCTGGTGGTTATTTGGAGATAGGAGTTTCACAGACTTTCCTGCCTGGGCTGGCTTTGAACTGCGATCCTGAGATCTCAGCCTCCTGAGTAGCTATGATTACAAGTGTGAGCCACTGGCACCCGGCTGGAGTGCCATTTTTATGTGACTGACTGCTGAAAGTCACCACTGTTCATGTTCCAGCAAGTGTCTGAGCACCAGGAGAGCAACACCTGTATCACCTACCTGCACCTCTTTTTTATCTAGACATCGGGGCTAGATTGATCATTATCCTCAGTTCAGGGCCCACTAGCATCACTGGCTTTTTCTATGAAACCACCATTCCCTCCTCTCCCCCACCCCCGCCCCACGGCTGACCACAGTGATGCTGTGTGGTTTCCTGTTGTACAGCTGAGTTCCTCCTCTTCCTGAGGCAGCTGTGGTGCTGAACCCATGTTTATCATCCTGTGCTACTTTTCTTAGGCAGTCTTATCACACTTTAGAGTATGCTCTGCCACGTTCTTGTTACAGTCTTTAGTTGTTTGGGGCTTTTGAAAATGGATACCACTGTCGTGTTGCTGAGACTGGCTGTTCCTTCATGCGCAGCTAGAGTTCATCTGCTGTGCTTGTTTTATAATCGTCCACCATGTGATTACTGCACGACTTATCCCCCTCTCTGTTGGTGGCATGCAGGTTATTTCTAGGTTTTGCTATTACAAATGATGATGCTATGAACATTCTATACATGTCTTCTGGGGATCTTTAGATAGATGAGTACATGTGTCTATGTGTATGATATTTACTGGATCTCGGGATATGAAAACTCACCTAACATGATCATTTTACTTGAAATGTGGCCAGTGTAACAGAAATTTAAACTTAATTTCAGTGATATTTAAGTTGTACCCTGGGCAGCCTGCTGCTTAAATAGGTATAACACAGCATCCTACTGTTTTCTCCCTCCATCTTCTCCTTTTGCCCTAAAGGATGATGGAATCTAGTTTAAAAAAAAAAAAAAAAAAAGTGGACTAGCTGTGGGTCTCCCCATTGGAAGTTCAGCATGGAAAGCAATGTCTAAACTGCTCCAGCTCCCAACTCTGTACCAGCCCCAGTCTCCCTGGGGCTCTGCTCCTTTCCTGTGGCCACCTGCACTGCCACAGTGTGCTGCCATTTGGGCGGAGTCTTGGTGTGACCTCCCTAGGGTAAGAGACCATTACACACAAGAGGTAGGAAACACATTCCCTCATCTCTCAGTTACCAGTGTCCCTTACTACAACATGAAGATAAGTTTAAACACAAGCCTGTTCAGTGCACATGCAGGAACTCTGCCTTCATAAGCCTTTGTCTAGCCAAAGGTCTGTGGTGTATTTAATTGCTGCCAGCTGGGGGTTGTCGGCCATTTTAAGCCCTCAGCTGCTGTGGTTTATAAATTTCACAGTGTATAGGAAGAAGCAGTCCTCCCAGTCAACCAGCTAATCCAAAATGTCAGCACCAAACGAACTTGAGCTTTGAACTCCATGAAAATGTCAGGGAGGCGGCAATACAGCACGGATGGCTCTTCCCTGGGGGAAGGGGCTACACATACAGTGGCTGATACACCACAGATAACCCACCCAGGGAGAGAGGACTGGGCTGTCTGCATCTGGCCAGTGCTATCTGACAGACACTGCCGGCCCCTGAGCAAAGACCAGAGCAATGAAAACAATTTGTGTCATTTACTTTAAGCAACAGTAAGTCCAAACAAGGTGACAGGAGAGATCGAACCAGTTCCTCTTGCTTGATCTTGCCTTTCAGCCTGAGGGTCAGCAGTTGGCCAGCCATGATTTGTTCTTTACTTCTATGATGAGTAGCTTTGTCACAGCTCTGTTAGTTGAAGACAGATGTTGTGCACACATCTACATTGCTAGAAGACTTACATTGCGATAGGTCTGTCATGGCCAATGCCCATTAACAAAGTGGTGTCCACAAACCATCAGTTCAAAGTAGAAAGTATGTGACCCCATAGCTTCCTAACACAGAAGGATGTTTATTCAACTGATGGGTGCCATCTTGCTTAGCGCTGTATGTGTTCAAGACTTTTGTTTTCATCAGGAATCCTACTGATATAGACTATGCTTAATTGAGCACAAATAGAGAACAAAAAGCCAACCTATATGCTCCTTCCAAATACTGTTTACTGACAATAGCATAAGATAGCAAAATTTTTTAATTTTTTTTGGTCAGTCAGGGTGCTTGAACTCTGGGCCTGGGCGCTGCCCCTGAACTCTTCAGTTCAAGGTGAACACTCTGTGACCTGAGCCATAGTGCCACTTCCAGTTTTCTGGTGGTTAATTGGAGATAAGAATCTCAAGGACTTTCCTGCCCAGGGTGGCTTTGAACCACAGTCCTCAGATCTCAGCCTCCTGAGTAGCCAGGATTACACGTGTGAGCATCCAGCGCCTGGCTCTTCAAGGTTCTTGACTGAATGATTCAATCAAACATTTGTCACTGCTCTAAAGGGAGTCAAACA